GTTGGGAAGACGCCAGGGACACAGATAAGCCTCGATGACACCAGATAATTCACAATTTGCTCCCAACAACTTGCTGTGCGCAGCTTCCCTTTTTAAACACTGTGTTCCCAGCTGCAGCTAATGAATCAGGGCCCTTTCGTCCCCCATAAGCCATGCAACTCACGTTGCTTCCTTCTCCGTTCCTCCCTGCATTCCCTAGGATGAAGAGGGGGTGGGCCTGGGTCTTCCTCCGAATTCCCTCTCCCTTGCTCTACCTCTCCACTGCTCTGCCCAGCTGGCCTTTGCCCTCCCCCAGTTTCTTCCACAGCCAATGGAGCCACACTCCCACTCCCTGTCAGCTGCTCGGCCTCTCCTCCAAATCAGATTCCAACAGGACATGACAAAAAGATTTCCAACCAATTAATAATAGGGCTATTGGGCAAAGAAGGTAGAACAATGCATAAGTAAGATATCTCTTCCTTCCTCTCCTTCTTTATCCATCCCTTATATATCATGGCATGCGTCTAGCTATTTATACAGATATAGTGATGATTTTTAATACAGACTCAAACCTAACACTGCCCTCGATGGGCTCAAAATATTAAATCAGACATTATTAATAAGCTACCATAATAAATAATTCTTAAAACTGATTTATTTGGGCAGCATTGTGTACTTTTCAATATATACATTCACAATGGACCCAATCTGTTATTCAATATTACCATAGTTTCACCTTACTATTTAGGAAACCTATTGTTTTCCCAGGAGACAGAGACAAGGCTTTTCCACAGAAATGATTATATCCTCCAGATTTATAACAGCATATCCTCACTTTGAAATATATATACTCTTGTGGATTTATAGAATCCATCACACCTTTGAAACTATACAGAAGCTGTATTGAAAAAGTGTTCTGAGAAACAGTATAAATGTATTTACATTGAAAATATTGGTCCAAAATTTACAGCAGCAAGTTTTAAAGATTAGACTCAAGCAATATAGTAGTAACAATATTTCCTGCCTTAAGAAACATTTCACACAACAAAACCGAAACAAATAAAACAAGCTTAGAATCTTAACTTGACATACTATGTTATTTATTTGAAATTTCATACATAAAGCAGACTTTTCCAACTTAGGAGCTCAAATAAAACCAAGGTGCATTTCACAAAAGCTTATTGCTGTTAATAAATTTGTTAGTCAGAAAAGGGGGTGTCACCAGGCTCCGGGTTTTTTTGCCACATAGACTAAAACAGCTCTCCTCCTATTAAATTTCCTCTGTGAGAAAGCAGAAATTTAAAGCTGCACAAGGTATATGTTCTCCCCATGGGCAATCTCAGTTTGCTAACTCATAGGGTTGATATCCTAATTTTCCACTCAGAAAAGGTTGCCATCTGCACTCTTCTCAATATCTCCAAGTGGCTGGAAAATCACCTACCAATCACTGCATTTCAGATACAGGTAGTCCTTGACTTACAACCACAATTGAGCCCCCAATTTCTGTTGTTAACTGAGACATTTGTTAAATTAATTTTGCCCCATTTTACGACCTTTCCTGCCACCGTTGTTAAGTGAATCTTTGCAGTTGATAAGTTAGTAATCTGGTTGTTAAGTGAATCTAACCTCCCCATTGACTTTGCTTGTCGGAAGGTCGCAAAAGTGGATCACATGACCCTGGGATGCTGCAATGGTCATAAATATGAACCCTGGGATGCTGCAAAGGTTGTAACTGTGAAGAACGGTCATATGTCACTTTTTTCAGTGCCGTTGTAACTTTGAACGGTCACTAAATGCGTTGTTGTAAGCTGAGGACTATGTTTACTCAGATCTGAAGGTTGAGTCATCTGTCAGAATGACAGTGGATGGGCCCAATAAAGGGAACACACAAGTTATCTCCCTCTCCCTTTCTGTCTTTCTCTGTTGCTTCGTTGTGCAACTCTTAAAAATGAGTTTAGGGCACTTGGGGCAAAACCCATGTTCAGAATAATCCCAAACAAGAGGTAGATATAGTGGGCATGGGGTTGTGCTATGAACTGGCTTGCTTCATCCTCCATCTTCTCCCCACAAACCCTACAACCACTGATGTTCCGCTGCTAAGTCACTGAATTGGAGATCATAGAGGTGGTGTATAGAGGGAGCAAGTGTTTGATCAGAAAGAACTGGACTGCCTGCTAGCCAAAGTAAAAATTGTCCCCAAAGACACTGTCCAAGAATATGTTAATCATTTATATGCTATTTATAAATATTAATATACATATATTAAATATATAATAATATAAATATATTTATAAATATGAATAGCATATATTACCTAAGCATAAGTATAGATATAAATAATTTTATTATTTTATAATAGTCCATAAATAATTTTATATTTTCAGTATTTTAAGGCAGAGCAGAACTCAAAAAACATCTGTTATGTGTACAAACCGGTGGTGGTATGCTACCGGTTCAGCCCGGTTCTGCCAAGCTGGTAGCGGCGATGAGCAGCGGAGACAGAACCGGTTCTCTGTGCCGCTCTGCTGTTGGGCCCACCCGCCCACCTGGGTTCCCACACTTACCTTTATCTTCTGCTTTTGAAGAGCAGCTGCTTTGCGCGACACAGAAGAGTGCCGCACGGCAGCAGCTGAAGCGATTGGGCGAGTGCAGGCTTGCAGGAGGTGAGTTGGAATGCCTCTGCGCCTGCGCAAATGCCTCTGTGCCTGGGCAAAGTGCGTGTTTGGTGTGCATGTGCATGCAAAGTGAGTGCATGCAAGCAAAGCACGCCCACCAAGCCACACCCACCAAACCGGTGGTAAAAGTTTTTGAATCCCACCACTGGTACAATCTTATATATAATTATCATCATCAGTAACACACACTCTGCACTACTGCTCGTATTTGTCTCCTTCAAGTAAATTAATTGTTCCTTATTCAAAATACGGTGATGGGAATCTACGCAGAATATATTATCTTACCTTGTTATTTGTGTTCTTGTATTAAAATCCAGAGATTTCATGGACCGCAAGACCTCTATACATCCCAAATACTACAAAGAGGGGAAAAAGTGCATATAAATATAACTGAAGTAAACTTTGTATAGCATAATCCATACTCATATTTTGATAGATGGAGGTTGTTATTTTATTTATATCTCTTCTCCAACAAATAGTCCATCAAAATGGCTTGCTAAGCATGTATAGTAAAATAAATCCCAACATCCCCTTTCTTATTCTTATCCTTTTTTTTTTCACTTACATATACAGCAGCGATAATCCTTTTTAAAAAAATTGGAGCCCTCCCTTTTCTTCTGTTAGGTTAGAAGCCACACAGAAGGCCCTTTCACTAGCATGCGTGCACATTTTTAAGCATACTATTATTAGTCTAGGTTGCATAATTAGTAAATGCTGCAGAAAGTCCCTTATGCTTCTAATTTAATTAGATGCTACACATAAGAATTGTGCAAGAATAGAATGAGTTAGAAAATTTGCATACACAATATCATTTGTGTCTGCTGTGGGAAAATATATCCTGTGCTGCATGCATGACCCTCAAATTGTGAAAGGCATCAGAGGCCATGCAGACTGTTTCAGGTTCTTTTCATAAGTGTTTGCACACCAACACATCTGCACGAGAATTTAAGTTTGACAGGGGGGAAAAAAAGGCTAACTGGCTATTGACAATTCTGCAGCTGTGTAGATATATTTAAATTAGACTAACTTGATCATAATAAAGTCTAGCCAATCTCTCCTGTGTCTGCTGGAAAAGAAATAGAAGGCAGCTGTAAATTTCCTGGCCATAAAATCTTTTCCCTGGTCCAGGTATTTCAGTCAGTAAACAACTCTGGGACAGTTGCTGGGATGCTGAATGTAGAAGGATAATGGGTGGAATTCAACTTTGCAGGCACCAGTTTTCTGCACCAATAAATCTATTGACTATCGGGGGCAATAGATGCAGACATAATTGGCAGAGGGTCTCAGGACTTTTGTCTTCTTTTTTTTATCAAAAAGGCTTGCTTTGTATGTTTTTTTCTAATGGAACTTCTGTGGATTACGCTGAAATTTGGGGGGCTTTTATCTCTTCCTTCCTCTCTCAGTTCAGACTTCTTTCCTTTCTGTCTGGAATCTGTGCAATTTAATGGCTAACCTGACCAATCTTTCCCCATACTAGAGATGAACATACAATGCAGGCAGTTATCTGTAGACAGACCTGTATAGCTTAGGTTTGCCATTATTTCCTTCTGTGGGCTAAGGAAAAGGGACGATTCCAAAACCCAGTCCTTCTCATTTACTTTCGACTTGACTGAGGCTTTAAACTGATACAAACAAAGGTGTATAGAGTCACACATCTACACAAACACACTTTTTATGGCATTTATGATTTCAACTTGCCTAGGTGGTAAATAAATTTACCTGAGATGTTCAGCATATTATGTAAGTCAATTAGAAATATAGACATTTCTCTGTAACATTCACAAATAATCTGAAATTTTGGATTATTGGTGGAATCCTGAAATTTTAAGGAAGCAAACTAGAATGAATGTTGATACTTATGAGCTTGGCTATTAATAAATGCCATAAGAAAGTGTATATATGTATAAAATAATTAAAATTGGCTTGCTGAAGAAATGGAAATGTTTATGCAGAATTCTGCAAAAATGATGACTGGGATGGGGAGAAAACTTTAAAGAGCAGGTACTAAATTGTATAAGATCCCCAAATATGAGATAGGAGCCTGAACAAAATACGACATATAGACACTATTATTGCATTTTTTAATCATGAAAATAGCATTTTTATAGCTGCTCTCTAATGCTAGCACTGAACCCCTCCCCTAAGTTTGGTAGTTTGCCAGTCAGCCAATAGTCTAAAAATAAGCTTGCAAAATTAGACATTTCTTATATAGCAGGGGTCCCCAACCGCCGGTCCGCGGACCGGTACCGGGCCGCGGAACAAGCCTTACCGGGCCGCTGGTTGCTGGGCGCCGCCATCTTTTTTTGGTAAAAAAAGCAATTTTTCGTCAAAAAAGATGGCGGCGCCCAGCTGACGCCGGAACCGGGCCGCGGCGCCCAGCTGACGCCGGAACCGGGCCGCGTCGTCGAAAAGGTTGGGGATCCCTGTTATATAGGCACATTTGAATTCATGCCTGTCTGAATGCAATCTGTCTCACTACTGCCACATAATATTTTTAGCCAGGGAAAATAACCTCGTCTTTGAAAATTTGCCAACAGTTATTCATGTTGAACTGATTATGTGTATTGTAATGTCATAAAACACAATTGGCTTCATAAAAAATCCAGGCTATTAATTGCATATGAATAAGGGTTAAGGATATGTTTTGTTTCAGGTATTTTTATGTATGAAGCATCAATGCACTGTCTCTATAAATAGTCTGTCATATTTGATTGAAATTTATTTTTAAGATAACAGAACTCTGCATGATTGTATTTTACTATTCTTAGATTTTCAATTCAAAACTACAATATAAATAGATAAAATTTCCACTCACACTTGGCCCATCACAAGATCCATTACAAGGCCCTCACTTGACACATCCATAACTGACCCATCACAAGCTCTATTGTTCACATGAAGCCCTCATAAACTGAAGAACACTGACACTGACATCCCCTAAACTCCGCTGAAGATGTTACCTAGTCTCATAATGAAACTTTTGGAAACCAACCCCCAAGCTCCAGGAAGCCTCAAAATTAAATTACTTAAACAAAGGAATTAAATAGAAATTTTAAATTTTAATATATTAAAAAATAGATAAAAGAAGCAGAAGGAACTAATTACATTATTGAAAATATACAATAGCTTTTACCCATCTGGGAAAGTACTGTAATAATAGAGAACTGAGGCAAATACAGTAGTAGTTATGCAAATCAGGTTCACAGTTGGATTTTCTAAAACTGAGAAATAAAATTAAACTAAAAATGACAAAGTGGGGGAGAAGGCTACCTCCTCTGATGTGATATTATACCTTCTCTGCCTTTGCAGGGGTATTCACAGGAAGAAGTAAAAAAAAAAAAAGTCTCACCATGCACTTTGCCTGTGTAGGCACAATTGTCGTTTTGACTTTATTAACTCTTACCCAACCCAGATGCTTTGGCCTTTGGTTACCAGACTATATTAAAAAAAACTTTATTTACTAAAATGTGCACACAAGCTTTTACAGAGTTATTATAAGAGCTGAGAATAATCTATACTAACCCGAGATCCTTATGGGAAGAGTAGCATAAAATATAATAATTTGGATAATATGATAACATTTGGATGAGTAGCAACACAAGACCTATTAAAGTTGATCTCTTTTCCTCCTAAGTCTTTAGTTACTTGATCTTAGATCAGCATGTTCTTATCATTATTAATTTTATATTACAGGTGGTCCTTGAATTGTAGCCACAATTATGACTGGAACTTCCATTGTTAAGCCTTTTGATCACTGAATCTGTTTTATGATTCTTTTTTTTTTGCTGTACTCATTAATCTGGCATTCTCATATTGACTTTGTTTGTCAGAAACCCTCAGGGAAAGAGGTGAATGGTGATCATGTGAGCCTGGGACATTGCAACTATTGTAAATACATGCTGGTTGCCAAATGCATGAATCACAATCATGTGACTGCAAGGACTCTGGTGCTCATAAGTGCAAGGACCACTTACAAGTCACCTTTTTCAACACCGTCATAACTTCAAATAGTTGTAAAATGAATAGTCATACGTTGAGGACTACTGATATGTTGTACAGTGTCACTGGTATTTGGGGCTATTTTCCTTATTAGAAAATAACAATCATTTGACACTATCGCTATCTCAGTTGTCTTCATTATTGTTGCAAATCTGTTGTGGAATCTGCAGTTGGAGGGAAGAGTTAAGAGACTGGCTAGTCTGGAATCAAGGAAGGGAAGGAAGCAACAGAAAATAGACGCCCTCTCCAAACCTTGGAATGTTTATCTAGTTGTATTGTAATGAGTGCAGCTGGTCTGGCAAGATTTTTGTAAATAGCCGAGTAGCAATGAAAATACTGCCCTGATCAACTTTTAGTGTCACAGAAGTGGGAATGTCCCTATCTCTAGCCAGTATATTCTGAAAATAACGACAAAGCTGCTAGGATTTCTTGACCCTTAATACCATTTGCATAGACACAGAATTTTACTAAATGTGAACTCACAATAATATTTGTAATACATGCTTCTCATTACTGTATGTAGTGAATATGCTTTTATTTCCAGATAAAAACTATGGAAAGCAAATATACTTTGGTAAGAAATGATACCCAGAGTACAGTCCAGGAAGAAGATGATTACATAAATCCTCCTTGAACTAATCAGATTTTTAATTTATTGCTCAGAGATTCCTCATAGACCAAGAAAGAGTCATACTATGCTTTATTTATGAAGTTGGTTGAAAACTAATTTTAGAGCAGCTTTCAAATTAAAGTACTTTGCCCTATGCCAATATTTTTTCTAATTATATTGCATGCTGTTATTTATGTTTTTGGCCATAATTAAAATATTTTTGTATAAAGTAATTGTTATCATAATATTTTTAATAATTTCCTATAGCCCTTTTTATTACATTAGATTGTCAGATCATGGTTCTGTCATTAATGAATACAGGGATCAGTCACAGTAGTTTCCGTGGTGATGCAATATCAAAACTCCCAAATGTTTCTGTAGCAGCTGGATTGTTTATCCTTCTTCTTGATGTACTTCTTGGCATTCTAAGATAACCAACATCAGGCAAACTCCACCATGGTAAGGAAGAGGCAAGTTATTGGTAAGCCCTAATTACTTTGTATCCACGGAATCAAATGCCACTCAGAATCAGCCAAGTATCAGAAAGTGATATGAACCTGGGACCCATATTCACATTCCGTTATCTGCAGCATAAACATATTCCAGTAATTGTCTTTGTGAAGCTGACTTTACCTCACCTCAGCCCAAAGCTGAGGTATGTTAAAATCATCTTCAGCTGTTCCAGTTTTCAAGTCTCATTTTCCCTCTGCATATAGCATAATGTCAATCATTGACATGCCTTCCATT